GATGTAAACAGAGGCATATATCTCTATCCTTTCTCTCCCAGATCCCCTAAAATGGGGAATACCCATCGTATGCTTGTCCTGTCCTTTAACCAACTGTCTGATAGACATAAAACAAATTTTTTGCTTCTTCTTATTAGCAGCCCAGACCATATTTAACTGTCTAAAAGGGAATTAGAAATTTTAAAAGTAGAGGAGAATAAAATCCCCCAAATTTGGCTGGGCGCGGTGGCTCAAGCCTGTAATCCCAGCACTTTGGGAGGCCGAGGCGGGTGGATCACGAGGTCAAGAGATCGAGACCATCCTGGTCAACACGGTGAAACCCCGTCTCTACTAAAAATACAAAAAATTAGCTGGGCATGGTGGCGCGTGCCTGTAATCCCAGCTGCTGGGGAGGCTGAGGCAGGAGAATTGCCTGAACCCAGGAGGCGGAGGTTGCGGTGAGCCGAGATGGCGCCATTGCACTCCAGCCTGGGTAACAAGAGCGAAACTCCGTCCCCAAAAAAAAAAAAAAATCCCCCAAATTCTGAAAGGTATTTACATTTTTTTTTGTCTAAAGAAACAAAAGGTCATAAAGCTCCTCCACAGGGGGTGGAAATTACCTGTACCCATGATTGCAATGTTCTTTTCAACCAAATTGTCTCAGAGACTACACTGCTATTGCCACCAATGTGTTTTCAGCCAAATCCAATGAAGCCACTGTAAATGAGGCTATGATAGAACATTCTTGTAATTAAATTTTTTGCACACATCCTGAAAATATTTCCTTACATTAAATTAAAGAAGTGGAATTGCTGAGTCAAGCAATCTGTACTTTTAAAGCTTGAGATCTATAATTGTCCCCTTGGGATTAATTCCAATTCATGTGTTTATTAGATAAAGTTTTTGAGCACCTCCTATATGCCAGAGTGTGCCAGGCCTGGAAATAAGCTATATCCTTGGCTTCAAAGAGCTCATGGCCTTTTTCAGTTGCCTTTCTGCCTAGTATAATGAGCCAACAGAAGGCACTCAATAAATATTTGTTAAATAAATAAATGGATGAATAAATGAATGAATGCATATTAGTTGGCTTTTCCTGTGTAGCAAACTACCTCTTCATAGGCTTAAAATGACAATTATTATTTGTCATGATTCTGTAGGTCGGTTGGATGGTTCCTCTTGCCTGGGGTATGTGACCTATCTCTGTGGCAGCTGGTGGCTCAGCTGAGGCTATACAATCTGGCATGGCCTCACTCACCTGTCTGGCCTTGAGCAGGCTAATTGGTCCTGAAGGGCTGCAGGTGGGAGGGCTCAGCTCTGCTCCATGTGGCCTCTCATCCTCCAAGTGGCTAACTCAGGCTTCCAAACAGCAGCAAGCAAGGGCAAGTGCCAAGGTACAAGTACTATTCAAAGCTCTGCTTGGGGGGCTGGGCACAGTGATTCAACCTGTAATCCCAGCACTTTGGGGGCTAATGTGGGCAGATAGCTTGAGCCCAGGAGTCAGAGACCAGCCTGGGCAACATGGTGAAACTCCATCTCTACAAAAAATAGAAAAATGAGCTGGTCATGTGACCCACACCTATAGTCCCAGCTACTTGGAAGGCTGAGGTGGGAGGATCACTTGAGCCTGGGACGTTGAGGCTGTAGTGAGCCGAGACTGTGCCTCGGCACCCCAGCCTGGGCAACACAGTGAGACCCTTTCTCAAAAAAACAAAAAAACTCTGCCTCAGCCACATTTGCTGCTCTCCGATCGATGGAATCAAGTCTTACAGTAAGCCCAGAGTGAGCGTAGAGGGTGTGGACTTGGGGTATGGTTCTCGAGAGGCAGATTCAGCAGCATTTTGGCAGTCTGTGCAGAAAAGGCGTGCCTGCCTTTGCTTCTCAGCTCGTGGCCTGTGTCCATTTACCTAGATGCTTAAGTTGGAAACTTGGTTCTTTGTTTTTGAAATTATACTTTGAACCCTGAACTTTTCCACTACATGCGTTTAACTCTGCCTTCAAAGAAATAACCCAGTGTGTTTGATTCCAGAAACTATGGCTAAGAAAACCATTTCTGGGGCCTCAAATGCATGTTCACCACCCTGTGCTCTGACCTTTTTCTTCACAACTGTGGAGAATGATAACTCAGTGTTGCTGAAGCCACCGGTGACTTATCTGATCTCTCCTCACGAGCACGGTTAAAGTTCAGTCTTTACCCTGGTCCCCCATCACATAGCCTATTGGACTCATTTTTCTACTTGCTCAGCACTTGCCAGGTGATTGAACGTAAAATTCCTTAGCATCAATTAAACGTTTGCCTCAGGATGGCGACGTGAGAGACCTTTTGGGGAGAAAGGGGGTGCCTCTCATTAAAATAAAACTATGCCGATTTTCAAAGAACAGTTGCTAAAAGACCCCTTTGCTACCACTTCCAGCCTGGAAATCTCTGCCTCCTGTTAAACACACATGGCATGTTCGAAATGGGAGAAAATAGCTGGTAGAAATCTCTTGCATTCTTTACTCGAGAGGGCACAGAGGTTAATTTGGGGAATAGTTCTCTAATGGAAGCCAGACTGGGGAAAGTTAGGAAACAAATTTTAAAATTATGTCTCCAAAGTGAGTGAGAAAGTTGCTTTATTTATTTATTTAGCATTCAAGATAAATAACCGTTTATTAAAATTTTGGTGTTTTGCTTGTTTGTTTGCTTGTTTGAGAGGGACACATTTTTATGGCATGGGTCCCCTCGTGCATGGGGCTGTCTGGGTCAGTTGGGTCAATAGGATGATCTTAATAGCTGCAATTTAGTCTCCCTTTGGGGGCACCAGGTTCACAAGACCATTCTATAAGCTGTTTGTTCTGGCTTATTTGATTCGGAGAAAGTCTTTTGACGTTATCATATGGAAAAGCTTCCCTGCAAACACAGATTCAACCGAGTTTATCTTCTAATTCTTCACTTTCCTGTTGTACCCTACTCCACAAACACCACACACACACACACACACACACACACTCTCTCTCAGACCCCACACAGATTGTGTTGTTGCCCTAGGAACAGTGTAGAACAGTGCTTCTCAAATTATCTGGTAGTAAATGGTCAGTTTTTGAGATTTCTGTTTTTGTTGTTTGAGACAGTCTTGCTTTGTCGCTCAGCCTGGTGTGCAGTGGCACAATCTTGGCTCACTGCGACCTTCACCTCGTGGGTTCATGTGATTCTCCTGCCTCAGCCTCCCGAGTAGCTGGAGTTTCAGGTGTCTGCCACCATGCCCAGCTAATTTTTGTATTTTTAGTAGAGGTGGGCTTTTGCCATGTTGGCCAGGCTGGTCTTAAACGCCTAACTTCAAGTGATCCACCCTCCTGTACCTCTCAGAGTGCTGGGATTACAGGCATGAGCTACTGTGCCCAGCCAGCTTTTGAGATTTCTAATCCATTGCAGACCAATACAATAAAATACAATTGACATAATTTAATAGAATAATATAAAACCAAGGCATATAAAATACAAGCTCAGTGTTTTTTATTATTAGATTCAGCAAACATAAAAGCACTCAAAGTCCTTTGCAAGTTTCAAAACACTCCTAATGTCTGTACTTAATTTGTTGCAAATTGGTAATAGCCAGTGGACAAGCAGCACCAGCTGGTGGCCCCTGCTTACACAGCACCAATCTGGAATCCCATTTCAGTGGCCAACCGAGCGCCTAGCAAACGTCCATCCGCATACTCATCCACGTATCCTTCACACATTTATACCACACCGGTAGCTCTGTGAGACACAGGTAAAACTGCAAACCCATCCCTGGCTGCTGTGATCGGGGAGCCTACGGGGAGCATCTCACTCAAGTGTCAGGGGTCAGGCAAGGCCAGCTAGAGGAGGTGACATTTAAGCAAAGTCTAGAGCAAGGAAGAAAAATGGGTTATGTGAAAAGAGGGGTTTGGGAAGGTGAGCGGGCAAAAGGAAGAAGTGCTTTCCAGGTAGAAGCAACTGCATTTGCAGATGTCTCGGACTGTTAGAGGTATAGCAGGTAATTATCTTTGCCTGGATGCAAAGTTGGAGGAAGGGAGAGATGGGGCTGGGGCTGGAGAGCTGGGGCCCTGGTGGGGGCTTTGACGTTGTGTGAAGGAGGAAGGGCTTCCTCCCTCCTCCCGAGGAGCACAGGGAGCAGCTGATGGCCTTGGCAGAGAAGCCCCCATCAGTAGATGTGCATTTAGGAGGCTCCCTGTGACTGCTGTGTGGAGAGGCTGGAGGCCAGCTATGAGAAGCACAGCGTAGACAGATGCAGAGCCCACGGGGCCCTCAGACAGAGTATTTGCAAAAGAGAAAGAAAAGAGGCCAGGGGCAGTGGCTCACGCCTGTAATCCCAGCACTTCAGGAGGTTGAGGCAGGCGGATCACTTGAGGCCAGGAGTTTGAGACCAGCCTGGCCAACATGGCAAAACCCTGTCTTTACGAAAAATAGAAAAATTAGCCTGGTGTGATGGCACAGGACTGTAGACAGCTACTCCAGAGGTCGAGACATAAGAATCACTTGAATCTGGGAGGTGGAAGTTGCAGTGAGCCGAGATTGTGTCACTTCCCTCCAGCCTGGGTGACAGAGTAAGACTGTCTCAAAAAAAAACAAGAGAGAGAAAGAGAAGAGAGGCTTCAAGGAAGCTCTTGAACACAGAACAATGCAGCGTGTGGGTGTGGATGTGGGTGTGGGTTGCCCAGAGCTGGCCCAATGAAGAGTGGGGTTGAGCCAACCTTCAGGCCGCAGCTGCTTCTACTGCCAGCCTGGCACCATCCAGGAACCAACACACAGCCCAGATGGCTAGTTTTCCTAGGGTTTCCTTTTAAAAAGTGTGAGTTTTCCCTCATCCAAGTTACAGGAAAGCAATAGAGGCTCGACGGAAAGGAAAGGATTCACTCCATACCACGTTGGAAAAACAAGCTCAGAACCATAGGTCTGCAATTCCCAAAGCTCTAATTCTTGCCTTTTGGTTTTTTGTTTGCTTCTTTTTAGTTTAGTGTAATTTTTATTTTTATTTTTTTTAAGTTTTTATTTTTTGGTTGGGGAGAGCATGAACACGGTCCCACACTACCACAAATTATGTAGTCAAATTTCCCACATTTGGAGAAACTGCAGGAGTCAGCACATTTGGAGTGCAATGGGTAAGACTTGCCCTGGGAAAACCACCCTCATGATCACAGCATCTCCCCTTTGAGGTAGTTAATTTTTTTAGAGATAAGCTCTCACTATATTGCTCAGGCTTGAGGGTAGTGGTACAATCATAGCTCACTCCAGCCTCGAATTCCTGGGCTCAAGGATTTCAAAGATCCTCCTGCCTCAGCCTCCAGAGTAGCTGGGACTACAGGCTTGAACCACCATGCCTGGAATTCAAAACAAAACAAAACAAAACAAAAACAAATAAAAAACAGTAGCAACTACCCAAAGCTCAGCATTTGATGTTTGTAACGCATGCCTCACCCCTGAGAGGCGTGAGATGAGATGTAACCTCATCTCTGTCCTTGTTGCCCAGTGGGTACGGGGATGGAAGTGCAACGCGTTTGATGCTGAAATCCCACAACATACTGCCGTCATCAGTTAAATGATCAATCTTGTACCAGTTACTCATTTGGTGTTCAGGAGGGAGTTGAACCAGATTTTGTGGATGTCTCTACTTTTAGATGACGAGGAGGCAACGCTTGGAAGTCTCCAAGGTAGCCAGGCAGAAGGGAGGTGGTGTGATTTTCACAGGTGGACCCCAGGTCCCCCTCTTTCCTCCGGGGAACATCAAGGCTCTAACAGGCACGACAAAACATAGAATAGCATGAAACTTGAGAACAGAGACAGAGTGCACCCTTTTTTTTGTTTGTTTGTTTTTTACTGAGTTTCGCTCTGTCTCCCAGGCTGGAGTGCAGTGGCGTGATCTCGGCTCATTGCAACCGCCACTCTCCCTCACTGAAACCTCAAGCGATACTCCTGCCTCAGCCTCCCAAGTAGCTGTGACTACAGGCGTGTGCCACCAGGCTCAGCTACTTTTTGTAGTATTAGTAGAGATGAGGTGTCACCATATTGGCCAGGCTGATCTCGAACTCCTGGCCTCAAATGATCCACCTGCCTGAGTCTCCTAAAGTGCTGAGATTACAGGCGTGAGCCACTGCGCCCAGCCCAGAGTGTGCCCTTCTGCTGCCATTGTTTCAGAAGCAAATTCAGTTAATTGAACGACAGCTCTCCAGGTCAGTTCTCAGGCTAGGGTTAGCACCCTGGGAGGATGGTGGATGGGGTAAGAAAGGGGCTTTTCTATCTAAATGTAAGCAATGGCCCTGTTCTTTAAATTTCCTTGCAGCTGGATTTCAGTATCTCACCCCTCTGAAGCAGTGAGGACTTTAATTAGATTGTTTCCCTTAAAGAAAAAAAAAGTCATGAATTGCTTGAGGACCTATAATTCTTATTTCATCTATGTATTCCTTACATCTAGAATTCTCACCAACACGCAATAGGTGCTCACTAGAAGTTCAATGATTAGATGACCAAGTGAATTGTAATTTCTTCTTTGTTGTCAATTCTTGTTTACCCGGTTTTTGTTTGTTTTCCCTACTTGTTCTCATTCTCCTGTGGGAGCAGGGGTTGTACCTGTCATGAGGACTATTTCCCCAGAGCCTAGTGAGGACCTGGCCCTGGGTCCACTAGGTGGAAGTCAGTTGAATGAATGGATGGAAGATTGTGGAGCAGACGCTAGGACTTACTAGTTGCCTGGCCTGAATGCCTACTGCTCGGGGTCTTCTCTGGCTGCCACCATGGGGGCAGCCCCTGTACTATGACTACACTGCGTGTAAATACCCTGGCTCTCACCCGAGACGTTCTGTGCGACTGCAGTTTCCCAGGTATGAAGTCCCCTTGACTCTCAGAGATGGCAGAGACCTGATGATATTCTCCTTATTGGCTGCCTTCTCCCACCTCACTCTTCCACTGGTGTTTGCTGGATCACTTACTGAGTAAGCAAGTTGCACTTGAAACTTTATCTCCAGATCTGCTTCTGGGTAGACGATAGACATCTTATCTCCCAGTGATGACAACCTCATCGGGAGAGATAGTGCATTTTCCCTCCCAACATTTTATTTAGAAGGATTTCAAGCCAAAGAAATATTGAAAAAATATATACACTTTCAGCCAGTCTCGCCAATCAATAATGTTTCTCCATATTGGCTTTATTTGTCTGTCTTCCTCTTCTTTCTCTTTATACATAGACAGATGATAGGTAGATACATAGATCAATCGATAGATAGATGAAATCGATTATATAGATAGAACTATGTGAGAAAGAGAGTCTTTTTAAAAAATTATGTTTATATTTTGTAGAGATGGAGTCTTGCTTGGTTACTTAGGCTGGTCTCAAACTCCTGGGCTCAAGTGATTCTCCTACTTCAGTGTCCCAAACTGCTTGGTTATAGGTGTGAACCACGATGCCCAGCCTGAGTCTTTTTTATTTATTTTTATTTTCTCAGAGGGAATTTGTTTTTATTGACACAGTTGTCCATGCAAAGCATCCTGGATTTCCTCTGGTAAAATCTGATCAATACAAGGTGGTAATAGTGTCCATTTGTCAGTTTTCATTAATGAAGAAATGACTGCCAACTTCCACAGTCAACATGGAATAGAGCCAGCATGAAATAGAGATTTCTCAAACCTTAAAGCTCCAGTGTTGCACAATTCATGATAAATCCATTATTAGAGAATATTTAGACTTTAGAATCTAGAGATTTCAGAGGAAAACTCTCATGTAAATATGTATATTACGTATGTCATTTTCTCCCAGAACATTTGAAAGTAAGTTGCAGACTTCGTGGAATTTCACCTGTAAATCCTTTAGAATGTGTCTACCAAAACAAGGGACATCTTCCCACATAACCACAACCCCCATCATCACACCCAAGAAAACAGACATTGATACAAGAATAGTGTCAAATATACATTCTATACTCAAATTGCCCCAGTTGTCCCAATAATGTCCCCGAGAGCTGTGGGACAATGTGTCTTCACAATCTACCGCTAGCCCCTTCTGTCACTGGGCCTCATACAACACCCTTCTGAACACTGGACTATCTATTAAATGCAGGCCAAATTGATCAGAATGAAATAGCTTCCCTAGGATGGGAAGATAGAGATGTTTAAGTCGTGCTCTGACAGAGTGAAAAATATTGCCACCAGACTGTGGGGCATGACAGGGTTCCCTGACTCCTAGTTAAAATAGCTGACGGTGCAGAGCTGGGCCCCACCGCAGTCCCCCATCCCCTTCTCTAGAGTCTGTTTCCAGAGGGTCCTGGCCTAGGGAGAGGAACTCCTCCTCTATGTAGACCAAGCTTGCAGCTCTGAATCCAATTACTGACTTCAAATGGTTCTGCCATTACCAGCAGACTGCAACAGACTTGAAACTTTGTTTTAATTGAAGGAAGACTGGGTGCAGTGGCTCATGCCTGTAATCCTGACATTATATGAGAAAGTGAGGTCTGAGAACCCAGTGGCTATCCTTGGAATTCAGGACTGCCTACATAATTTGCCAGGCCTGATACAAAATGAAAATGTAGGTCCCTTGTTCAAAATTTATTGTGAATTTCCAGAGGGTGTGGGCAGAGCATTGTAGCATGTGACTTCGCAAGTCACAAGTCTGTGACGCTGGCTCTATGGGTATTATTTGTGTGCAGCCTGGATTCATAGAAGGCCTTTCTGAACTTTGAAGTAGTGAATATTGACGAAAGGCTTGAAGGTCTTGTGGCACATGGGAAGAAATGAAGGTGGAAAGACAGCCCCAGGCCAAACTGGTCAGCAACCATTATAACTCATTATTTCCTCAGGAGAACAGCGTCTACAGTTTTTTGGTTTGTTTGCATGTCAGACAGATACTGTGCTGACTTCGAAATGAGGTCCGAGGGGGCACATCTCACACATGTGTGTGAGCACCTGATCATCACACTCATGAGCTACCAAAAGATCTCTGCAGTTCTTACGAATGCATCAGCAGCTGTCACATATTCAGTCTGTCACCTCGCAGCACAATGTCAGATCTGGGAGGCATACCGCTGGCATCACGCAGACATTCTCACGCGTGCTGTAACCGCCCTCTTCTGTTCGGGCTGGTTTGACGCGAGGCCACTCCCCTTCCTTGCTACTCAGGGTGAGCTGGTCCCTGTTCCCATCCCATTATGTCCCCATTCAGCCTCACACCACGTGGCGCATTGCAGACGCAGTATCAGCAGAATCAGAAGATGAGATTGCCCATCCCTCCCCCCTCGGTCCTTTTCTACACGGACGCAATTCCCCAAAGCGGAAACTGAGGTGCTCTTGGCAGAATAACGCATCACAGTTCTGGAAGAGAAAGACGCGATTGTCCTGTCTGTATGTTTCCCTCTGAAGATCCTGGAGGACAGGCTGGCAGCCACTATTTCAGCATGGAGCCAGGACCCTGGGAGGGGAGAGCAGAGAGATGGAAAAATGATGCCAGGACCTCGGCAGAACTGGGGAGACAGGAGGAGGGGATCTAGGGAGTAGTCTATTTATAAATTCCCTTCCCGACTTGATGGGCATGACTAGCAGGATGAAGCATTGACCCTTAGAGTTAGCCAAAAGAAATGTGGTGCCGTGATTGGGATCTGACAGCACACCTGGGATGGGCTGAACACCCAACCCTAGCGTGAAGGTGTGTGGCTGAAATCAACTGTGAGTTTGTGTCTTGAGTCTCCGTCCTCAGTAGGGCATATCTTACATGAAGCGGAGGTTTCAACAAAAGCCTGGAAAAGTAAACATTGCCAGAGTGAGAAACTAGAACGTTGTTGTCAACAGGAAACGTTTCCCTTCTGGTATGTCTGACCCAGAAGCAGTCCTGTGTGGTATGTGATGCCCATGGTTTTCTCTTCCCGGGATGTGATAAAATTAGCCAGGAAGTTGATGCTGACTGAAACCAACGAGTCTCAGACTTTGAGTCCCTGCTTATCTTGGCTCCCGGAGAGTGCACAGGTGCTTGAGTCTCAGTACTCAAAGGGTGATGAGAAGACCCCCACATCAGCACCACCCAGAAATGTGTTAGAAATGTAGGATCTCGGGCTCCATCCCAGACTTGTGGCATTGGAATCTGCATTTCCACAAGATCCCCGCATGACGCAGGCACATGTGAAGGTCTGCACAGTGCTGGTGTAAGCACAGGCTTAGAAATGGACAAGGCCAGGGCTCCGTAAC